GGAGGGGGGGGAGGGCCCTAATTTGGGGGGAAGAAGCGCTTCCACTCGCTGCCGTCAGCGCAAGGGTTCAGGTTTAGGCGGGAAGGAGATAAGTAAGTTAAACCTGAACTAGTTAGTTAGTTAGTTAACTAGTTAGTTAGTTACGTAGTCAGTTGGTCACTGGCCTACGACTAATCATGTGACTTTCGGTGGTTGGGTTGGGCTAGGGCTTGGAGGAGGCGTCCCGTGACCCGCCCGCTAGCCAGTTAGTGGGGGGCTGTGTGGAGGGATGATTAGTCAGCTGCTGGCTGGTTCTTGGGAACCAGCTCTGGAACTAAGCTCTATTGGGGGGGTTTGATTTTACTGAGAACACTTGTTCTAGTCACATGGAGGAGGAAAATGTCATTCATTCATGGTTTCGGCGCCTATCCGAAAGGTATGCAAAAAAAAAAAGCTAGCTATACACAGATCCCAATGGGAGCGAGTGAGGAAGCAGGCACCATACGACACGTAGTTGGTCAACTGTGTTTCGCGTACAATGGGGGATTTTTGATTCTTCTGTCAGCTTTCCTTCTAGCCCACATAGCTTCCACCTCCCTCACCAGTTGACAGAGGGGGAATTTTTGACACTAGTCATGCCGTCAGTCATTCTCAACACGGGTCTTGCCACACTGCAGATAAGCAAGTAAACAAAAAAAGATCATTCATAGCTGACTCGCGACGGACAATCCCATCGCCCAATGCTGGTCAACGCAGAACTCAATGGCGCTTCCGGCCCACTCGGCATCCACCTAGATAAGTAGTATCCAGCCAGATACCCATCAGATGTGCTCGATTACAGAATAAGAACTTGGAAAGAATGAAACTTTAAAGAGTCAGTGATGTGCTGTGTGCTCCCTTTTTTTGGGGGGGAACTATCCCGTTCGTTATCTGTCTCCCCGGCAGTCATCGGAATTATACCACGGATCTCCCTCGTTCCTGGAAGTCCAGAAAATAATATCCACACAGGGCTTGGGAATGGGGCAGCGAATTGCTGGACACTTCGGCTCGAATCTTGAACGATTGAACCGGACGCACGCCATTGGTGGTTTCAAAATGCAACATGCAACAACCTCTGTGGCTAAAACATTGCTGGCCTGACTATGATTCCAGCACAAACGGTTGGTCTGGGCCACAATTGTGTGTGTTTTGAGTTTCAGATTTTTTGTGGAGACAATCGCTCACTGACTATGATCCTATTTAATTGTTGTCACGGTGAGAAGAGAAGAGAAGAGGGGAGAAGAGGGCGACGTCAGGACCGAAACAGGGGTAAGAGAAAATAATTATCATAATATATATATATATAATATAGTAATATAGTAATTATAAAAGTAAAATCGCAAAGTAAAAGCCGAGTCCAAGCAGCCCAGACATGAAAATAGAACTTGCCAGCGTAGAATCAACCTGGACCATGGGAATATGATTCCTCAAACCTCTGCATTATTTTTACCAGCAGGAATCACAACTGCTAATAGCTGATAACTAAACAAGCCTGCCAAATAAACCGTTGGTGGACTTTCGGCCGTTGCTCCGCCCGTCAGTTGTCCCCAACCAAATACAACCACAGCGGCCCCCCCCCCACCCCCCCGCGTAGTGAGAACCGCTACAGCTCTCTCACCTCCTCGATTCTGTCAGCCTCTTCGTTCATTTTCTCTTCTCTCTATCTCAGATCCACATTTCTTTCTTTCTTTCTTTCTTTC